CTAAATCGGGGTCAAAATGGTAAACAGTAAGGACCAAATCAGGGATTTTTTGAGTTGAGGGACTAAGTTGGGGGTCCGTACGATAGTTGAGGGACCAAAATGGGGGTTTAACCTTATGTTAAATGAAATTTCTACGTTGAAATTATTTGTTGTATTTGCTTTACGTTTTTGTTATTTTTTACTAACAGAAGAACTGAGATAACTTGAGATATGTTTTGAAAGAAAGTTAATCATTTCAGGAATAAAAAGAAGTTAATCACTTCGGAAATGAACTAAAGAGAAGTAAACCACTTCAGACGAATTAAGAAGAAGTAAATCACTTCAGATGAATTAAAAAGAAATAAAGCACTTCATATGCGAAGTGACATTCATTAATAGGATTGACGTTTAAGGAATGAATGTTAAACAAATTGACCTCGGATACACAGAGTAAGAGGTAAAATGAATCTTAACAATCATGGAGTAATTAGTAGTAGGACATAGATCACTTGAAAGGAGTTTATTAGGGGTAAAATTTCTTCAAGTTGTTAACATTCCAGACTCTAGGAACTCTCTTTCCTTCAGCGTCTTGAAGGACATAGGCACCAGGATGTGGCACTTCGGCCACTGTATAAGGGTCTTCCCAATTTGGGGCCAGTTTGCCAAAATGAGTTTTAAACCCTGTTAGGCCAGCCTTCCTGAGAACAAGATCTCCTACTTTGAATGTTCGAGGGCGGACTCGTTTATTGTAGAAGTTGGCTAGTTTTTGCTTGTATACTAAAGTTCGAAGTCGTGCTTTTTCTCTGACTTCAACAAGCAAATCAAGGTTTTCCCGAAGCATTTGTCCTTTTCGGCCATTATCGAAATGGGTGATGTGGAAGCTTGGGACTCCTATTTCAATAGGAATGACTGCTTCGGTGCCAAAGGCCAAGTGGTAGGGTGTTTCACCTATTTCATGAAATTATATTCTTTAGAATATACTTTACATATTATGCACATTTGATCTAAGGTAGAGTCTCAGGTGAGGAAGTGAGATAAAATGAAAATAGAATGAAAGGAACTTAAGCTGGAAATAGTACCTGTGGCAGTTCGGCTCATTGTTCTGTATGCCCATAGGACGTTGTTGAGCTCGTCCGCCCACTTGGCCTTGTGCTGTTCCAACCTCAGTTTTATTCCTTCTAAAATGCATTTATTGACAGATTCTACCATACCGTTTGACTCCGGATGGTAAACCGAGGTGAACTGCAATTTGATCCCGTAGCTGGAACAAAAATCTCGGAAAGAGTTGCAGTTGAACTGAGTTCCATTATCATCCACAATCTGATTTGGGATCCCATATCTGCAAATGATCGAGCTAAAAACAAAGTCTTCGACCTTCTTGGAGGTAAGACTGGATAATGGCCGAGCTTCAACCCACTTTGTGAAATAATCCACACCAACAATCAGATGGGTTACACCACCAACCCCTTTCACAAATGGGCCTAAAAGATCCAGTCCCCACTGAGCAAATGGCCACGGTGCTACCAGGTTCGTGAGCTCTTCTGCTGGTTGGTGAGTCAGATGTGCAAAGAATTGACATTTCGGGCATCTCTGAACAAAGTGAGTGGCATCTTTGTACATGTTTGGCCAGTAATATCCCTGCCTTAATACTTTGTGAGCCAGAGTTCTAGCACCAACATGGCTTCATGTACCTCCCGAAGTGCATACTCAGCTTCGTATGGATTTAAGCACCGCAGAAGAGGGAGTGAGAAAGATCTCTTATAGAGGACCCCATCAATGAGTGTATACCAAGACGCTTTCTTCCTCAACTTCATTGCCTTCGACCTGTCCTCGGGCACTATCTCGTCTCACAAAAAGGATATAATTGAGTCAGTCCAACTCGGCGTGTCTGGGTTTGTGTTGATCTCCATCATCCATGGCTTCATGAAGTTTGGTTCATCTAAGACTTCCACAAAAACTGATCTAGAACTTAAAGAGCTATCAGAGGCAAACTTAGAGAGTGAATCTGCCTGCTCATTCTCAGCTCGAGGGATTTTGCTCAGACAGAATTTCTGGAACTTGCACTTCAGCTTGGCCACCAGGGCTACATATTTCACCATCACAGGATCAACGGCTTCGCAGAGTTAGTTGATTTGGTTCACCACCAGTTGGGAGTCACTGTATACTTGGATCGCACTGATTTTCAACTCCAACGCTAGTTGCAGACCAAGTAGTAGGGCTTCATACTCAGCCATGTTGTTTGTTGCATCGAAGTTAAATTTCAGAGCATGCTCACTATGGTATCCATCTGGGCCAAGCAAGAGAGCACCAGCTCCTGAACCGTTGTTACTAGATGCCCTATCAACGTATAAGGTCCAATCCTTGGGTTCTGGATTAGGGGTTGAATGACATGGAGTGCATTCTACAATAAAATCTGCCAGTGCTTGAGCTCGGATTGCAGATCTCTGCTGAAATGTTATCTCGAATTCCCCCAGTTCTACTGCCCACTTAATTAATCTTCTGGAGCACTCTGGTTTCTGTAGAATCTGTCGAAAAGGTTGATCTGTGAGGACAATGATTGGGTGTGACTGGAAATATAGCCTCAGCTTCCTGGCCGAAGTGACAACTGCTAATGCTGCTTTCTCAGCAATAGGATATCTCAATTCTGCACCATGCAGCACGCTGCTGATGTAATAGATTGGTTTCTATTGTTTGGCTTCTTCTCTTACCAGAACTGAACTGATGGCTTCAGTTGAAATTCCCAGATACAAGTACAGAATCTCTCCATCTATGGCTTTAGTCAGCAGAGGTGGTGAGCTAAGATAAGACTTCAGCTCTTCGAATGTAGCTTAACATTCCTGACTCCATTCAAACTTCTTTTGCTTTCCTGATTCGTCTTTCTGTGCGGCTGACCTCATAATCTTGAAAAATGGCAGGCACTTATCTGCTAACTTCGATATGAATCGATGAAGAGCTGCCACCCTCCCTGTCAATCTCTGTATATCTTTCACTGACTTCCCCGGTTCCATCTCGACAATTGCTTTGATCTTTTCTGGATTGACCTCAATCCCTCTTCGGGACACCATGAAGCCTAGAAACTTTCCAGACTCCACGCCGAAGATGCATTTGGCTGGGTTTAACCTCATTCTGTTCTTCTTGAGATTGTTGAAAGTTTCATCGAGGTCAACTAGATGGTCTTTTGCTTTCAGGCTCTTTACCACACTATCATCGACATAAACCTCTAGATTCCTACCGATCTGAGCTCAGAAGACGATAGTCACCATTTTCTGATAAGTAGCACCTGCGTTCTTTACGCCAAACGGCATCGTGACATAGCAATATATTTCGTCACCAGCATAGAACGAGGTTTTCTCTTCGTCTTCTGGAGCCATCGGCACTTGGTGATATCCAGAATATGCATCCAAGAGACTTAACCTCTCAGTACCTAAAGCCGCTTCAACCAACTTGTCAATGCTCGGCATCGGATAGCAATCCTTGGGGCAAGCTTGGTTAAGATTTGTGTAGTCGATACACATTCGTCATTTCCCATTTGCCTTCTTCACTCGGACTGGGTTAGCCACCCATTCGCAATAATTAACTTTTCTGATGAAACCAACTTGTAAAAGTTTCTGTACCTCTTCCTTTATAGCTTGAAGCCTCTCCCCCCCGAAGAGACGCCGCTTCTAGGCCACTGGTTTCTTCAATGGATTGGTGCTGAGCTTATGTTGAGATACCGAATTTGGAATTCCTGGCATGTCTGCCGAAGTCCATGCGAAGACTTCATTGTTAGCTCAGAGAAAAGTTAATAGCTCTGCTCTTTCCTTCGGGTTCAATCTAGTTCCAATTTGCGTCTTTCGACTCAGATCTCTATCATCAATGGGCACTTCTTCAACATCTTCGACTGGAGTGGCTCTGGTTTCATCTTCCGGTCGGTTATCTACTATTTCAACGCCCATAACTTGCTAATTATCAGGAATTCGTTGAGGACGGCCTCGGGTGTCTGGTCTTTACCCTTCTTAGGTTGGGTTACCGAGGTAATATAGCAATGTCTAGCCACCTCTTGGTTGCCTCGTGATGCACTAAAATCACCCTAACAAGTGTACTAGTCACTTCAAGTAATATAATGATGAATAGAGTGTCGAACCCACGAGGATTGTGTTTAACTAAGTACCAAAATAATTAATCTAAATTTATTTGAACAATCAAAAATGAAGAAACTTTAATTAAAAATAATAAAAAGAAAATAACAAATAAACCTAACCAAGATAGGAGGTACTAAGGCATTGACTTTACCATAATCAATCAATATAAATTTTAGATTATCAAATTGTTGAGTGTTATTGCATGTGATGACGGATTTCCCTAAATTAATTAACTAGCTTTCTCAAGTCAAGTTAATCCTTCATTGGTTTGTTAAATTAATCATATCTCTATGTAATTTTAAACAAACTAATGAGCATTAGATTCTATGGAAACCTCTAGCCTAAGAAGAGGGAGCTACTAACTCTCTTCTCTTCCTCCACTACCACATGTGAGCTAATTACCTCTCAGTCTCATAGTCTAGCACACGATTTATATTATTATTGGTCTAATCTACACAATTCTTTCTCAAGTTCATGCATAAATCACTAAATCAATTGAAAGATGATTAGGCTTCCAATGCATTAAGTTCAATAATATAAACTCCTCATGCGAATAACTTTAATTGCAAACATAAAATCACACAATCTATATTGAATTGATTATGCTACATCATAGTCCTAGTAGAATAAATCAGTTCATAATAAAAAAGAATAAAATATGAAATCAAAGTTATGAACATTCAAATATCAAACAATAGAGAAAAACCCAAGGAAAAACAAAACTCAATTTGAGGAAATCGAACTCCTTGATCTTCTATTGTTGAATCCTTTCTCTTGATCTTTAAGAATGCCCAAAAGAGGGCTGCCACCAGCCTCTCAAAACTCCCTTAATTGTGAATTTGGATGGGTATTTATAGGATTTTAGAAACCCTAATTGAAATAGAAGTAGGACTTGGAACAGAAATAGGAAATTGAATTTTGGATGTTGATCGCGTGGTGCTGACACTTCGGATTACATGTTGACACAAAATAGGAAACAGAATCTGATTCTGGACTTTTAACGCATGGTCTCAACACCCCGATCATGAGTCGACACTACACCCATGTCGGGTTTCTGGTCTCCTTTTGCAATTTCTTCAATGGTAAAATAGCAGATTTGGTTCTTGACTTCTGGATTCTGCACAAGTTGATCCTCAAGTCTCTGATCTCTTCAATTTACTTCTAAAAGTAGGATTTCTTCTAATTAAATCCTTTCCTACACAAAGAATGCAAACCATGTAAAATTAAACAAAATCCCATAAAACTCATCCAAATATCAATAATATCAAAGTAAAAAGTTCCTATTAATATGTATATAAATTTAGCTCATCACCTCACAGTGTTGCTATTCCCATAGGAGTTGGGAGCTTCATGCAGAGGTGAGACTGGGAAACCACAGCTCGGATTTCAGTCAGTGTGGGTCGACCAATAACAACGTTGAAAGAGGACGCCATCTTGACTACTAGAAACCGAATTGAAGGAGTCACATAATTTCGATCACTCCCAAATGCAACATTCATCGTTAGGACTCCTTCAACTGGAACTGGTTGGTTGTTGAATCCGTAGATGAGACTATCATACCGCTGCAATAAACCTGGATCCAACCCAAGACTCTCAAAACAATGGAAGTACATGATGTCTGGTGCACTTCCTGTGTCAACAAGGACACGCTGCACTTCACAATTGTTAATCATGACAGAAGTGACAAAAGGGTCATTGTGAGGTGTGACGACTGTGTCGAAATCAGCAGATGTGAAAGTAATTGGTTGATTCTTCCACTCAGCATCGTCAAACTTCCGTTTCTGAGCTCGGTTCTGATGCTTAACCTCTCTGACGTACAACTTTCGCTGTTTAGAGCTTAGTCCACTTGCCTCCAGGCCGTCCGTAATCATGTGGATAATTCTGACTGGCAGGGGAAGTGGCGGTGGGGCTTGTTGATGTCCTACTCCTTGCCTGTTTGGTGGATTACGGGTTCCTTAAGGCTGCGACCCCTGTGCTCTGACGAACCTTGGCTGTTCAGCTCTCTGAATGTACTCATTCAACAGTCCCTTTTGGGCAAGACTTTCCAACTCGGATCTGAGGCTGTTACATTGCTCTGTTATATGGCCGTGATCTTGATGAAAATCACAATATCTAGTATGATCTCGGCTAGCAGCAGCAGTTCTTATTGGGCCAGGACGCCTTAAATCCATCTTATTCTTGATCTGCATGAAAATCTGTGACCTTAGCAAATTAAAAGAAGTCCAATTAACTGGAGGTTTACCTGCAGATTGTTGTGGAGGTGTAGAGTTCGGCCTTCCGAATCTCTGTGTGGAGGTCGACATTGGACCTCGGTTCTGTGCTGTCCTCATCCGTTTCCTGTCCGGATTCTCATCTCGCCAGTCTGGGTTTTGGTTCTTGGAGGGAGTTGGCTTCTGTGACAAGGCATACTCTTCAGCAGTTATAAATTTGAGGGATCTATCATTCACCTCACTAAAGGCGATGGCAGGATGCTTGAGCAGACTATCTCTGAATCTTTCATGTTTAAGTCCTACGATCACAGCTGCAATTCCCACAGCCTAGTCAAAGGAGCTGACCTCCAGTATTGCGTCATTGAATCTGCTCATGTAATTCTTCAAAGATTCTCCGTCCCTCTGTTTAACTCACATCAGCTCAGAAGTAGTTTTCCTGATCAACCTTCTACTGGAAAACTTTATGGCAAAAGCAGATGCCATTTCTGTATAACTTTGTGGCAAAAGCATATGCCATTTCTGTATAAGAGCTGATTGATCTCGGAGGCAGACTATAATACCAGGTTCGAGCATTACCTCAGAGAGTAGAGGGAAATATTTTGCACATCAACGCATCAGAGGCATTCTGAGCTTGCATACAAGAGTAGAAAGCATACAGGTGATCATCGGGATCCTTCGTCCCATCATAAGTCTCCAGCTGAGGTATTCTAAAGCCAGTATGGTAGGGTTCTAATGTGATGTTGGTGTTCAGAGGGTGAAGTATGGAGTCAGCAGCATGATGTGGAGGTGGGGCATCTCGCTGCTCAGCTACTAGCCTTTCTAAGCTGTCTACACGTCGAGTGACATCATCAGGGAGGGGTTGCTGAGCTGGTGTTATATGAGATTGACCCTGAGATTCACTAAGAGCAGGAGCATGCTGAACTGGTTCAGGGTTTTGCTGTGGAGCTGGGTTAAGGAGATTGATGAGGGGATCTCCAGGGTTGTTCCGAGCTAAGAGCTGAGCCAACACTAGCTAAAAGACACCAAACTGTTGTTGCATGGCAGCAAGTTGAGCTGCAACTACATCTTGGTTGGCAGTGGAAGTAGAATTGTGAGCTGAGTTGTGTGGTTGATTCTCATCTCCTCCCTCTGCATGATCAACAAGAGGGAACATATTTGGGATATGAGGTGGAAGTTGAGGTGGAAACTGAGGTGGAAGGTTGTTTGGGGGTTGACCTCGTCCAAGAGGCTGAGATGAGTTTCCAGCTGGGACTGATCGAGTGTTAACCATTATGAGAGAGCAACAAGAAAGCTTTCAGTTCGTTTCCCACAGATGGCGCCAAATGTAATTGCACCAAACCAGAAGTCCTTCTTCAGTCCGTATTAGCACTTCGGATCGACCTGCAAAGCCCCGAGGTGGGTCCTCGGGGTAGACACTCCGATGCTTAAGTCAGCAATAATCGGGGCTACCTTTAGAGCGGAGATAAAAGAAGCTTAGGGTTGGTTTCAATTACCTTTTTGACGTGGCCCCTGGGGGGTATTTATAGGCTCCAGTGAGGAACCCACGTGGCATGCCAAGCAAGATAATCGGAGCCTGACGTGTCTATCCAGACGATTATTTCGGGACCGGGAATTTGAGAGATATTCAGACACAAGGATGTCCATCATAACTGCTGTGCAGGTCATCATAAAGAATCAGGTGCGGGTATGCTTATTGTCGCTGTCATGCAGCTATTTGGGCGAGAGGCTTTGGATTTACCCTTCACTTCGGTCATAAAGTTATTACCGTGGTAGTCCGAGGCTGGGCACCTCGGACCTATCCTTACAGGAGGTAGCATATTTACTAGTATTTCTTCAGTCAACTTGGAGGAATTGGCAGGAATATTCCAATAAAATTGACAAACAAGGAAAGATCAAAAAAACTGAAGTCGAATTCAAATCTTCCTATTCTGACAGCATGGGTCGTAGACATCTTTCTTTACCCTTTGGTAGAGAAGGGGGTGTCACGGAGAATATGAGTATTCATTGTTTAAACATGTAGCGAATAGACTTTTGTTGAACTGGAAAGATGGTTACAATATTCTGTGTTCACCCTTTCACCGTCCATGCTAATTCAGAAGATAGACCAATTACCAAAGTCAGCTAAGTTTTATAATGCTATGTTTGGGAACGTGAATTTGATTAAAATGTATTTGAATTTGAAACTTTAAATTTAAATATACTATTTGTTTATATTAAATAAAAGTATATTTGAATTTGTTTCAAATACATGTATTTAAAACTGTGTATTTCAAAATAAAAATTGCATGTATTTCAAATTCCCCTATTTACCCTATGAATTTCAATTCTTAATTTTGGTATTTCATCATATCAATTAAAAAAGAAAAATAAAATGGAATTGGTGGAGTGGAAGTCAAAGAACCTCGAAGCTCAGGGATGGATTGTGTGTGGCAAAAGAGGAGGACAGTGGAATCGAACTGGGCAATGGATCAAAGAGATTTGAGGAGGAAGCGAAGAACACGAAGTCGGAGAAAGGAGAACTCGGCGCTGGCGTAATGGAGGTCGATATGGATGGCGAGGGTTATTTCTCTATAGATTTGCTTTGCACACCACCTATTTAATAAATTGCCTCATTGGAATTATGATATTTTCAGTTTTTTGACACTGTACTTCAAACAGATGGAAAGAAATAAGGTTAATGACATACGTAACTAAGATTGTCTATTAAGTGTTTGTAAAAATATCTCAATAAAAAAAATCAATATCAATTCAATTTCAAATTTATAGTAATTTAATTTATTCAAATTGTATATTTTAATAAGTATTTAAATTACATGTATTTAAATTACATGCATTTTAAATATATGTATTTTAATTACACTCCTCAAATTCAAATTTAAGTTTTCATACACAACCTAAATAAAATTTTCAGAAGAAAAAGTTCAATGGACTCGGGTCATGATTTGCACAACAGGGAGAAATTTCGAAAAGAAAACGATCTATATGGAGAATAAAGGATTATCACAAATGATACTCGAGTTCTCTATATTATAAATTTCATAAGCACAAGTTAAAAAAGCATTACAATAAATGAGAATATTGCTCCTTTTAACTCTGCGACAAAACTTTTAAATTCACCTTAAAAAAAAAAGAGGATAAAAATAGAGTCACTTTTCAAAAAAAATATAAGGATAAATTATCTTTTTAAATTATAAATAAATATAAATTACTTATTTTTAATAAATTTTATCAACTTTCTGTTAAAAAATAATTACGTAACAAATAAAATTTATTAAAAAATAAGTGATTTATATTAATTTATGATTTGAAGGGCAATTTATCTGCATTTTTTTGAGGGATAGATATGTCCCTAGCTATCTTTTTTAAGGGTGAATTTGGAGGTTTTGTTAATTTTGCTAGGTAATATTAAGTATACTAAATTACAATGCTGAAATGTTTCATTAAGATCATTAAAGATAATAATTAATATACACTTTGATTCAATAAATTTTACAACACATTTATTAAAAAATTATTATTTTTAAATTTGAATTCAATAAAAAAAAACTTTTACTTGTAAAATTTAATTGTTGAACCGATAAATATTGACAGATATGTTATATTATAGGATATACCAATCATTACCTTATTATTAAATAACCTACTGAGACGATAAGAAATGCTTCTTATCGATCTAACTTCGCCCTATCCAAACAGTTTTGACTTTTAAGGAAGGATACAAGCCTCACCTTATTCCATGTCTTTCTCTTCGTCTGATGACTGAAAGCATGGTGGTCCGGGGACAGAATCTGATGAATAGTTTGAAAATATTGAAGATCTTACATAAAAAAAAGTATGAGAATTCAAAATAGTTTATAAAGATTTATTTTTTATTAATAAATAATTAAGTAAAGTAAAACTCAAAGTAAATTGAGTTTTGTCCCCTTTGTATATAGTGAAAAGATAGACATTTTGGGGCTTGACTTTTAAAACATCATTATTTTTTTATTATTTTCAGATTTTTTTAATTTATTTTATTAAATTAAAATTTAGAAAGACATTTCTAAAAATCAAAGATAATTTTTGATAGCTATAAGGCACTTCTATGAAATGGCATCTTTTTAGAGAGATACATCCTACGATAATAATTTTTCAGGTAATATAAATTCTTATACAAAAACAAAATTTTACATCTAATTTTGAGAGAGTTTTAAGTTTTCTTGTATTCTAAAAAATTTTAAATCCTTAAAAAAAATGAGATCACGCCTCAAAACCATTATTTTATTCTTATGCTATTTCTTATTTAATTTTCTAACAATATCCATCAGCATATAGAACACATGGGGAAGATGCATAATTTGAATAATTGGAACTAATAGAATATATTTATAAGGTACGTTCTGTATATTTTAGATGTCATATGGATGCCGATTGGCCCACTTCTTTAAGTAAATGTTATTATTCAAAAACCCAGCATAAAGAAGGATTTAATTGCAGACAAACGTAAAATTATTTACACTGAAACCAAATCAACTATAATTGAAAGCAGGTAATGCTCTTATTCTTTTTGCCAATCATTTTATGATTTGATCCTCTTTATCTCTCAATCTCAAGATTTTTGTACATTTTTTTGGTGAGTTTTTGTAATCTTCTTAATTGATTTTGGTGCAGGGCTAGCACTTTGGTTCTTGTTTGATCATGCCGGAGCTTATATTACATTATCAAGTCTTCATGCTGCTAGCGAATCGAAGATCAAATCTGTTAAAAGTTTCTAAATAAATACAGTGCTGAATAAATTTATGTTCCAGAATTGTATTAGATACAGATATTCTATGTAATGAATCATACAGTGTCATTCATGGAATGAACATTAATCGTTAAATGGATTAAAACGCTGCATATTAAAAGTGTTAGTGGTTTGGAAAAGAATGTGATCAAGTTTCCTTATATACTGTCTGGTTGCTAAGAAAATCCAGAAAAAGAAAACAGCAGGGGGCTGAGAAAAGTTAGACTCAAAAAATAACTTCTTTTTTTCTTTTCCTTCTGGAAATTCTTGACATGAACAAACATGTTTACATTAAGCCATTATACTAAGCAGAATATTATACAGATTCTTCCAAATTTATCCAAGCACATATGAAACAGAAAATTGAAAAAACAGAGAATTAACATTTAGTGGTCTTGATCAGCAGTAAAATCAGGCTCCGAAATCAGGCTCCGCCGGCTTCTGAGGCAGCAGCGGCAGTCGCTCCGGCATTCCGGAAGTCGGAGCCTCATCCTGTCGCAAGTTTCGCAACGCATTGGCTGCAAATCTCGACACGTAAATCGAGGCGCCAACGCTCACGCCGGAGTCATCAGCCAGAGCATTCTGCAGCCTAGCTTCCTCATCCCGTAACAATTTAAGAAACTTCCTCCTGCAGTACCGCCGCCAGGCTGCCTGTATGAAGCTGGCCGCCCATGTCTTCCACTGCACGGAGTAGAATCTGAAAATGCGCTGGAGCTGTTTGCTATGGAGACGCCGGTGTTGGGAGGCGAGGAACTTTAGGTCGTCAGCTAACAGAGCAAAGGCCTCGACTTCGGACAAAGCCTGTACGGTTCTGGTGGAGATGGGTAGATGAGAGTAGGACTGAGGATCCAATGCCCAAGTAAGAAGTGCTTCTCCACAAAAGTCACCGGCTTTGAGATTAACAGCATTGAAGAAGCCAGTTATTCCACCGTTGGTGGTGGTGCTGACCAAATTTCCTCGATTTATAAACAGCATCTCCTCCACCGGATCCCCCTCCCTTTCAATGTAGCTTTTTTCAGTGTAAAGTACAGGTTTGAGACGATCACACATTGCATCTAACAGCTGCTCATCCATTTTCTCAAACATGGGTACCTGAAGTAAGAATATTAGCGTTGATCTTATGCTGGGTATGAACTTACAGAGATGTGATGCTTTTAGGAAAGTTCTTACTTTCATGAGCAAATCCAAGCAAAGATGACGCTTTATGTCTTGCCTGAGAACTCTTGGAAGGCAACTAATTAGACTCTCTTCGTCAACCCCTCTGGTTTCTTGCCATTTACGCTGTTGATACCGCCGGATTCTTTCCTTAAGGTTCCCCGGTAGCTTTCTGTGTTTCATCCATCGCTCTGCATCTGCTCTTTTGATTCTCATTTCTTCAACCTTTACTGCAGTTATTGACTGCAGATATTTCTATAAAAGCAAGAGAAACAATCTTACACATATTCACTAAATAAAAGATGGAACATGAAAAGCATCAAGAAATACCTGCATGTTGCCAATAAGTAATGCAAACAAAACCAGTCCAGCAATGGAAATGACAACAGCAAAGATAATCTCCCCAACAAAAGTGCTTGTTTTCAGATTCTGCCCTACAGAGCTGAGAATGAATAAGGAAAACATTAATTTTTGAGTTATTCAATAATCGATAAGGAGATTGTGATATACAAACCTGAGATTACGAAGACCCCACCAGAAGCAGTAAAACAATTTTTTACGGAAATCCCTAGTTTCCACGATCCCTGACTGGAGTGCATCAATAAATATTCCAAAATTGAAGACTGTTGAATTTGTATCATCAGGATTGATCAAAGGGCAGTAAGTGTTCAGGAGAGGTAGCAAATCAGGGTTTGATGAATTATCGGTTCGTCTAGGATCTTTATCATCATTACAGTACAAAAGACGTCGGTCAAGCCTATGTTTCCTCGCAACATTACGCCAACACCGGACTTGTGTTTCTACTGAAAGCAAGTACCAGATGGCCCCTAGAACCTGGAATGGAAAGGTTTATTTAAGTGTAAGGAAATCCAAACTATCGCAAAAAAAACAAAAGGCACTTACATGGCTGGCTAGCATGTACAGGAATAGATTCAAAGCAGCTTCAGCCCGAGCAGATTCAAGGACAACAGTAATGCTTGAAGTTCTTGAAACTTCTATATAAAGAGGAACAATTCGAACAATTCTCGGCACATATTGACAGATGATAATGTATTTTAACGACTCCTTCGTTACAAATGCAACGGGCTGGTCTTTCAATGAAGGGACAAGCAAAA